TACCATATTCAATTTTGATGAGACTTTTTCTTCTAGATGACGACTATTCTCCTACGTAGACGCTTCAATCAATTTCCAGCTTGTCTTGTTTCTGGCGTCAGGCACTATCTTCGTGGCTGCGAAGTTAAACGCGTTACCAGTTTCGTGATTGTAGGCAGCCACTTGTGATAGTCCGTCATCCCGTCGTACAGCCAGCATATATGCGCAAACCAAGCATTCGTCCGATCTGTCGCGTTTAGTTTCGAGGACAGTTTAGGCATGGGGTGCAAGGCACTACACCCAATTGCTCACTGTGATGCAATCGGTCCTTGACTTTCATGACTCATGCTTAGTTTGCGCATACACGAACATAAACTGGCTGTAAGACGGGGTGACAAATTATCACAAGTGTCAGCCTACACCTACGTGACGGGTCACGAGTTTAACTTTGCAGCCGCGAAGGTAATCGCCCACGCCGCCTCCGATGAAAACTCAGTCAATCGATTTATCGATCTGGCGCGGGCAATAGATCGCCCGACGTAGGCGTCACCAAACTGAGGTCACCAATTTTGGCAGGGGCCAATTACCCACCAATGACGTCAGTCCGTAGGTGCACGCACAGGGCGCCAGATCGATAAATCGATTGACTGACTTCTCATCCGAGGCTGCCCAGGCGTCAATCAATTCCCGGCCTATCTTACTGCCGGTTATCTTCGCATACATCGCCCTGCGCAGGCACCTTCGGATTGGTCCCTGCCATCTATGACGATGGACTCTGGTAAGAGGTCGGAAGTTCAGACGAAAAAATCCATACTTCCGGCGTTCGAAAAGTAATTTTCCTTACTCACACGTAAACCTGGAATGCGAACAATTCATAGCCAACAGGACACAGATGAAAAATGGAAGTGCTAATAGAGGAAAGGACTAAACAGCACTCACGCAAGGGTGCTGATGTTAGGAAAACGGCAGACCCGTAGGGTCTTCGAGTTTGAGCCCACAGCATAGAAGGTGCCCTGTGGATGGAAGGCCACTGAGCGGATGGCCTGGCTGTCTTCCAACACCGTGACCGGTAGGTAGTGC